AGAAACAGAGCGGGGAGCAGAACAGGTAGACTGACGGAAAACACTGCTGAGGGGAGCAGGCGGCAAGACAGAAGAGGTCTACCATGCCATGTGGGTCTCTCCCTGGCTAGCTGGGGATTGAACCCGTGCTGCAGAGGCTGTGGACAGTCTCACAGAGCTGTGCTCAACCCACTGTGCCACCTGGGAGGCTCCCCTCCCATTTTTAGATTCCTTAGAATTATTATGCTCCAGGGACAGTAGCTGTGCAACTTTGTTCTCACTGATAAAGGAGCATGAACCAGCATGGGGTCCTGGGAAGACTCTCCCGAGTTCCAATCTCTGCTCCACAGCTTTGGAATTGTTGCTTAACTATCCTGAGCTCAAGTTTCCATACTTCATTGTGCAATGGGTTGATCATTCACAGGTGCCCTTGTAGGGTTTCCATGTGAATGAAATGAGCAATGGGTCTACATCTAGTGGGCACTCAGTCAGTGGCGGCTGCCCTTGATGTTACCCTACGCTAAACACATGAACACAACGTCCTGAGAGGGCAAGAGAAGAGACTCAAGGTCACAGCAAGACAACCTGCTGGCTCCCAGCTGTCCCAGTCTGAGCCAGCTGAAATGCCAAATCCTGGAAGCAGAGGCTGGGGTGTGGGAAGTGATGAGTGCTCTGTGAGGACGTTAAGGGGCTGGGCTCTTTGCTGGAGCTCACATCTCATCAGGGTCTGACTTTCTCAGACCTCCCAGTCATCCTGCAGAGTTGGGCCTGAGACAGGGGCGGGAACCTGTGTTGATAAGGATGTGGAGGGGGCTGGTCCTGGGAGACCAAAGGGAAAACTAGTTGAGGGTGGGCTGGGGGAGACTGACCTTGTTCTTTACAAGCAGGGCAGGTAGGAACATAATCATGATAGCTGAATTTATTGAGCATTTGGTATGGGCCAGGTGTTTTTTTTAATGTATCCTTTTCTTCCAGTTTTATGCAATATAATTGACATATAACATTGTATTAGTCCAAGTTGTACAGTATGGTTTAATATGTGTGTGTTTGTGTGTGTGTATTTATATTTGCACTTGATCTTAGCCAAAAAGCCGAGAAGCGATGTATATTTATATTTGAAATGGTTTTATTTTTTAATTGAGGTAATAAAGATTTAGTGATTTAGGAATATAGGTTCACACCTCTTCAGATGTATGCATGTTATCAAGTCAAAACCCACCACCAAAGCATCAATAATCTGATATGTATATATTGTGATATGATCACCATAATAGGTTTAGTTAACATCTGTCACCTCACATAGTTGAAAGTTTTTTTTTCTTGTGATGAGAACTTCTAATATCTACTCTCTTAGTAATGTTCAAACACACGTAACAGTATTGTTAACTATAGTCTCCACATTGTGTACAACATCACCAGGACTTTTTTATCTTATACCTGGATATTTCTACTTTTTAACCCCTTCATCCTTATTTTGCTCTTCATCCTCCCATCTCTGGCAGCCACCAATCTGTTTTCTGCATAAATGAATTTGGTTTTTTAAGATACCACACATAAGTGAGATCATATAGTATTTGTCTTTCTGTCTGGCTTATTTCTTTTAGCGTAATGGCCTGGAACCATCTATGTTGTTGCAAATGGCAGGATTTACTTCCTTTTATGCTGACTAATGTTTCATTGTATTTGTTTATCATAACTTCTTTATCTCCTTGGTGGGGCCTTTAGGTCATCTCCATGTCTTGGCTATTGTAAATAATGCTGCAGTGACCTTGGGGATGCAACTATCTTTTGATATAGTGATTTCATTTCCTTAGGTTAAATACCCAGAAGTGGAATTGCTGGGTCAAATGGTAGTTCTATTTCTTATGTTTTGAGGACCTTTCTACTGTTTCCCCTGTGTCTATACCAATACCAACACAAAAAGTGTACAAGGATTCCCTTTTCTTCGCATCCTCACCAACACTTGTTATCACTTGTCTTTTTGATGGTAGCCATCCTAACAGGTGTGAAATGTCACATACTTTTTATGTATTACTTCACAACTCTATTTTTTTTTTAAGATTTATTTATTTTTATACAAGAACGCGGTACAGGCCAGATACGTGGGAGGGTGAGAGGATTCACCAGAGAAAGAGTGGGGAACAGAACAGGCAGACTGGCGAAGTACACTGCTGAGGGGAGCAGCGGGCGAGACAGGAGAGGTCTGCTGCGCCATGTGATGTTAGGGGGAAAAGGATGTCCTAAAGCTAATTCCATACAGGCTTTGTGGACTCCACCCCCACCCCAGGCCAAAGCCAAAGACACTGGGAATTCCAAATCCCATCACCACCAAAGGGAAGGTGGCTGGGACCTGAGGGTGGGGTTAAGCAGCCAGGTTGATATAAAGGCAGACACGTGAGCTTTGGGGGGGGGGTCCCCCATTTTGGCTCTCTGCCAGCTCGCAGCGTACGGCCAGCTCTGAGAGTGACTTTGGGTTTCCAGGCCGTCGGATTGGGTAGGACGCATTAAAGACTTTATTTCCCTATTTTCTCCCTGAGTTGTACATTTTCCTTATTTCCTTTTCCCTTGTAAATAAACCTTTTATTAACCTTTTGTGTGTGTCTGTAGTGGAGTATTAATAAGTCCCTTTTAAGCACGCGGGTGAGGACCCACAGCCAGGAACCCATTCAAAATCGGGGCTGCTCTATAACAGTGGGAGTCTCCCCTGCCGGTCGGGATCGATCCTGCACTGTAGAGGCTGTGGACAGCTTCACAGTGCGGCGCTCAACCGCCTGCGCCACCAGGGAGGCCCTCCCTATTTTTTTTTTTAAAGATTTATTTATGCATAAAAGAGCTGGGGTATAGACCAGGGGTGTGGGGTGGTGAAAGGATTCAGCAGAGACAGAATGGGGAGCAGAACAGGCGGATCTACTGAAATATACTGCTGAGGAGAGCAGCAGGTGATGCAGGAGAGGTCTGCTATGTCATGTGGGTCAACTCCCCGGCTGGGGATCTAACTCGTGCTGTAGTGGTTGCTGATAGCTTCATAGTGCTGAGACTTAACCTCTTGTGCCACCAGGGAGGCCTAACTCTCTATTTTATTGGTGGAGAAACAAGGCCCTGAAGGACTAAGAAACTTGCTGAAGTCACTCTGTTAGTAAATAGATGGGTAGGCAGCTGTGTTTCAGCCCCAAGTCCCACTCCAGCAGGGTCTGAGAGCCCACACCTCACATTCTCCTTCTAGGCCCTATCAGTCTGGCAGGGCCTGAAATCCAAGCAGGAATTCCCCCTAAGTTAATGAGGAAGGGTTTCTAGGTGCCCAGGCTTCAGTTAAGCACCTTGCATATCTTGTTTCATTTCCTTCTGGCAACAGCCCTCTGAGGTGGGTTGTATCTTCATTGTGTAGCTGACGACTCTGAGGTTTATACAACATGCCCTAGGCCATAATTTACAGGGGCCATGATTCACATGCGAATTTCCAACTTGCAGGTGCCTGGAGGTGTCAGGGAGGGGAGGAGGCTGCAGCGATGACCTTTCCCCTCCATGTGCCTTTGGAAGAGTTGGAAGTGCCTGCCTAGTGCCTTTGATGTGGAGTGGGGCAGGGGCCTTAGTCCCAGCTGTCAACTTGGGAAACCACTTGAGGATTCTGTTTTATAAAATCAACTGTAATTTATAACAGTGGAACAAAACAACAAACTCCAAGCAAATAGGAAGACAACTTAAATGTCCAACAACGGGGGCCAGCTAACTCAACTCTGGTACAAGCCCTTGATGCTATATGTGGCAGCTATTTAAAATTATTTGCAAAGACTATTAAGATAGGCAGATGCTCCAGATAAAATAAAAGCAGGAGATAAAACTGTTTCACCAACAGGACCCTGAGTAAACAATGATAAGTTGTATAAATGACTTATGAAACATAGAAAAAACTAGAAGCAAAAACTCTGGAATGTTGCTCGTGCTTATCTCCAGACTGTGAAATGAAAGGCAATTTAAAAACTTTTATTTATACTATTAAGGGCTTGCCACATATTTTACAAATCAGTTTGTTGATGCACAGACCATCAGAGGTAAAAGGCATGAAAAGTGGCATCCAACCGTGGCATTTTGAAGGTGGGGAAACTGAGGCTCAGGCCTGGGATCGGGGTGCTCCGGGAAGGCAGGCACATCGCGCACCTCCAGCCTGCAAGAGGGGGCGCCGGCGCGCGCGGGAGCTGGGCACCCCCTCCAAGGGGCACAGCCGGCACGCAGAGGAGGGAAGAAGCGGTGGTGGAGGTGGATGGGGGCTGGGTGGAAGAGAAGATTGGGGACCTTTCAAAAATGGAAACCAGATGAGCCGTTCAAAGGGGAGCACATTCTCCACGGCGCAATCCTTTGTTGCGAGCGTGTGAGGAGGCGGCAGCTGCGCGCCTCGCCCCCAGCCCACGGCCCGATGGGGCGGACACGGATAACTGCATTAGATGCACTCAGCTCTTTTCAATAAAACGCTCTTGTTGGCGGCACAATAGGGGGAACAGGGCAGCAACCCCAGGCCGGGCCGGGGGCGCCATGCCCTCCCCGCGGAGAGCGCGCAGCGCACTCATTTTTCAGGGCTCGGCTAATTGACGTTTGGCCGCTGTGTGGTTCAAAAGAAAAGGCGGACCTCCTCAAGTCCACTTCCACCGGAAATGAGGCTCCCCTCCCCTTCCCGGTGGGGGTGTCTGCGGGGCCTCGGGCTGCGAGCTGGGGCGCAGCGCCTGGCCTTGGGCTGGGGGGGCACCTGGGCCGGCCGGAGGCCTTTTGATTCCCAGTGTAAGGTGTCCTTAAGGTGTCTCCGTGGGGGAAATGCACTCCGGGAAGGATGCAGGTGTAGAAGATAATGTCAGGACTGGAAGGCTTTATTAGCGATCACCCAAATGCCACATTCTTTTAATGATTCTAATAAAGATAGCCCAGAACATTTTTAATGTTTTAAAAAAAAAAAAAAAAGCAAAGCATGGATATTTCTTGCCCCCTCCAATGCTTTATCTAGAAGCGAGGTATTTACCACCCCTGTTTTACAGATGTGGAAACCAGGCTCCGAGAGGTTATTGGCCTGCTGAAATTGCTAGGAAAAGGGAGCGCTGGAGTTTGGACCAGGTCTGTTTGACTTTAACGCAGGCTTTCTCAACGTGGCATATTGACATTTTAGCCTTGATCACTGTTTGCTGGGGGGCTGTCCTGTGCGCTGCAGGATGCACGGCAGGCAGCACCCCTGGCTTCCAGATGTCGGTACCCTTGTTTCCCCTGTGGCAATCCAAAATGTCACTGGACCTTGCCAAAAGTCCCTTGGGGGCAACTTCAGCGCCTCCCCCCACCCCCAACTGCTGTTTTAGAGCGACCCTGGTGTGCTGCATGTGCTGGCCTGCTAGTTTTTTTGTTGTTGTTGGGCTCAGTGTTTCATCTTCTGAGGGACCCAAGTCGCCCATCCATGTGAGGTTCTTTTCATAAAGGTCAGCCTTATGGATTGTAGAAGGGGTGGAGGAAGAAGAGTTGGCGGAATCAGATGGGGCCAAACTAGACCCCAGACTGCAAAGCTCCATGGAGTGCTACAGGCATTTTGAATTGTGTTTGTCCAGAGTGGCCCTCAGTCCTCAGTCCCTTCAACTGCCTCTCCCCATTTCTCTCTGCCAAGAGAGTGTGTGTGGGGCAACCTCTCTCCTGCACCCACTCTGCCCAACAGCTAGTGTTGCTGAGGCCACTAGAAGAGCTTGGGGAAAGCAGCCGGCTTTACAAGGCAGCATGAAGGAAGGGGACCCACGCACAGTGGCGCCTGAACCTCATTGTGGAATAGGAGGACTTGCTGCGGGCTCCCTCTGCTGTGGCTTCTGCTGATGGAAAGGGGCTCCATGCTGCTTTTCCTAAGTAAGTGCCCATATTATTTTGAGTTGTAACTTGAGTGTGACCCTTTCTTCCTGTCCTTGTCCTGCTGCTCCTTTCACTTAACATCCCAGAGCCATTTGGGTCACTCGGAAGCTGACCCCAGACTCAGCAGCCACACTGAACTGAACCCTGTTTCAGTTCAACTGCCTCCTTACCCAACGTGGATCGATACCTAGGAGCCATCATACATGCTTTTCCGATTCTGACCTTCCTACTACCTGCATGGTTGTATTAACTTTTTATTGGAAATGTCTTTCACCACAGGCGCCTCTGGGAAGGGTGTCAAGTCCTGGGCAAATGAGAGAGCTCAGGGCCCACCAGGCTTGGGCTTGGCCTCAGTGTCCTTCTGGGTTGTAGTTCATGGATTCGGAGACTTGGGAATGGGGCTTATCTTTTTTGATTGAGATAATGCTCAAGAGTGCATAGAGGCCCAGGGTTCAAGGAGTTAAAAGTACAGCCATCTGGAATGACAAGAATTAGGGTATCAGACAAAGAGCAAGTAACATCTCAGCTAATGAAGGCCTAGGACCAATTATAGTTGAAGTTTGTCTTTGGATCTCACTCTCCTCTATAGTATCACGCACATTTAGGGTAAGTATAAAAACGTGTATGTGCATAAACACCCCCACACACCCTTGGTTGACTTTAGTTTGGTATAGGATACACGTATCTCTTCTGTTAGCCCACTAAGCCTATGATACATATTTGGTGGCTGTGGTGCCCTTCTAAAAGGACCATGTTAAAAAAGGAAGACATGGAAATAAGTGTGTGCTAGTGTGTGTGAGTATGTCCACCACACGTAACTGCTTTCTTTTCTTTGCATGCCCCCTCCCCTGGGTGGTTCACACTTGCCCCCCTTTGCTGAGATAATTTACACTCTCCAACTTCATTAGTTGAAACCCCCTCCTGCCCAGGGACAAAAAATAGGGCCAAACTGTTCAAAAGAACACATGGAGACCCCATTAATGCTGGCCCTAATTGTGCCAATTCAAACCCCTCAATAACTCTAATTAAAACCTGTCTTGTGTGGGGCGTTGAATGGCAACACAGCTGTCATTCCAAGCAAGCACATAGCAGAGCTTTGGGGGAAAGGTCTCTATGTGCAAGTTTTGGTGGTGGTGGTTCTGGAAAGGGTCAGTGGAAGCAGAGAAAGACAGGGGTGCAGTGAGAGTGGGGAACCTTGAAAAAGTCTTCTGTGTCAGGTCAGTTTGAAGTCGGAAGAGCTTTAGCTTTTCCCTGTAGCTTCCCCCTCCTGCTCCTCCCCCCCAGGCAGGAACACCTGCAGACTGACTGGAAGGGGCCGTGACCACCAGACACATGGATACCACAAGTTGACTGAAACATCTGAAAGAAAAAGAAAAAAAAAACCCAACCAACAAAACCACACACCAAAACCCGAGAGTTTTTTCTCTGCTTCCACCCTTGTCTTTTAGGATCCAGCTGCACTTTGCTGGGCACCATAAATAACTCTGCAATTACATTAATTGGTTGCATATTTGTTGACACTGAAGGAGAAGCCCTTGAGGTTGGGGGAGGTGGATTTCAGCTGCAATTTAACACTCTTCCCTTCTGCCATCCCTCCATGCCTGCTTTCCAACCACCCCCTTTAGTTTTTTTGGGTGGAGGGAAATGGTGGGTTGACAGCCCCATTTCTGAATAAGCTTTGACAGCTGCCACTCAGAATCATGTCTCATCTGCTGGCTTCCATGTATTGTTTACTAATCCACTGAGTTTTGAAGTTATATTCCCACAATGAGAGAACTTGAACGATGAGTTCCTGGCAACACACGCTGAAGTTTAAATCCCTTTGGAGGCAGGGGTGTGGTCGTCTTAACGTCAGACATATTGTTTGGATCACATGAGAACTGGCTAGACCTTTGTCTGAATCCCCAACCCCAGCTTGGGTTCTTCTAATGGCTTGGCCCACCCTCTGGAGTCTGAAGAACTCCATTCTTTGGAAAGCAACAGAGTCTAAGTTACCTTGGTGTAGGGTAAAGAAAATATCAGGCTTTTCTGCCCTTCCGCCATCAGGATAGATGATGGATCCTTGTCCTGAATGCATGCCTGATGGCGGGCACCTGAAATAGGGTGTGGGCATAGGTAGGTGGGATTCAGCTGAGCTAAGACTGTGCTTTTAAGGGCGGCATCACGGGGACGCCAGGAGAAGCCAAAGCAGAAGCTGAGAAGCAGCAGAACGAACGCCAGAGAGTCCGGATAGAGTGAAGACTTGCAGGCCTCCCAGCCCCCCAGCCAGCACCCCTGCCTGCCATATGCCTGGTGAACCCCAATAAAAGACCTGCAAAAAAGCCACTGAGGACTCTGACTCCTCCTTTACCCGGTCTGCATGGGATCAGAAAACCTGCACTGTGTCCAGTCCTGCCCCTTACACTTGGTCACTCTTACTCGGTTGGTGGGCAAGACCTGGAGTTTGCTTGGAGACCAGGTCTCTGAGCCAGGAGGACATCACAGAGCAGGTAGCAGAGACTCAGCTGGCAGCTCAAAGTTGGCTGTAACTCAGCACTCATTTTTTTTCTGCTTGTAGTAGGCTGGAAGGAGGAATTCCTCAGGTCTGGCCTGTGCCATTATTACGTGCATGTGCCATACAGAGGAAGCCTGGCAGCGCCCCTGCTGAGTGGATGGAGCCTTCTTTGGGAGGAGGGACCATGTCTGTCTTGCTCATAACCGTATCCTCACCACATCCAGTGAGCCCAGCGCATGGGGGCTCTCCGTTAATGTCAGGGATGAAGACCTGAAGTTCTGGTTTCCAGGTGTGCTAAGCACTTAAGGAAAGAATTACATCAGCCTGAAATCACGTAGCTTACTTCTACACGGTATGGCGGAAACCACATAGACTTTGGAGCCAGCTGACCAGAATTTAATGTACCTACTTTTCAAAGCCATGTAAAGATAAATAAATTAATGTAAATAAACACAAGGGTTACTTCCTTTTTCTCTTTGTGAAGCCAGTGAGCAGAACTTTCTGAATCTAGACCTCCGATGACCTCACTGCAAAATTTGGATAATATAGACCTGCAAATTAGCAAAAAGTAAAGCAGACTTGAAAACCTGAAAGGGAGGGCAAGACTGGCGCACGCCCTCACCATTAGTAAGTCTTTGTATGTGCTATTCCCTCTGTCTGGAGGACTCTTCTCCCAGATCTCTGTGCCTCAGTCCCTTACTCCCTCTGGTCTCTGCTCAAATGTCACCTGTTCCGAGTGGTCTCCCTGGGGAGCTCTTGCCAAGACAGCAACCCCCTTCCCATCCCTCTTTCCTTCCCTTACCTGCTTTATTCTTCCTGATGGTGCTTATCACCCCCAACCTATTACATACCAGTGGGTAATGATCTGTCTTCCCTTGCTATGTTCTGAGTTCTTTGTTCCTGCTGTATCCATAGCATTTAGAACAATGCCTGACATTGAGTGGGTGCTCAATTAGTCTTTACTGAACATACAGGTGAGGGAGTGGGAACACTCTCTGATCGCCTAAAAGGAAGAGAATACCTGGCTCCAAATATTTGTTGGATCAAATTTCTTCATGATCTATGCATTTAAGAGGTGGCCCTTCTCTCTTTGGTTTCCAGCCTGGGCTCCTAGGCTGGGGTTAAGATGGTACTATTTGGAGGCAGTTAGATCTGCATTCGAACATTGGTTCCAGGGCCTCCCTGGTGGTGCAAAGGGTTAAGTCTCCGCACTATGAAACTATCCTCAGCCACTGCAGCTTGAGTAAGATCCCTGGCCAGGGAGCTGACCCACATGGTGCAGCAGACCTCTTCTTTCTTGCCCGCTGCTCCCCTCAGCAGAGTATTTCAGTCATTCTGCCTGTTCTGCTCCCCACTCTGTCTTTGGTGAATCCTCTCACCCTCCTGCACCTCTGTCTTATACCCCAGTTCTGGTATGCATAAATAAATAGATCTTTAAAAAAAATTGTTTCCACCCTTTATAGCCAGGTGAACTTGGGATAACTACCAGCTCCTCTGAGTCTGTTTCTTCACCTAAAGATAATAATAGTCACTACCTCAAAGGGCGATGGGGTGAATTGAAATAATGTTTGAAAAGTATTTATCATAATTCTTGGAACAAAGTGAGTGTGCAACAAATGGTGTACCATTTTTACCAAGGCCAAAGTCCTTTTCATTCTCTTGATTCTGGGATCCCCATAACTGAGAGTTGGGCTGAGGTAAGGTCTGGTGAGACCAGGAGGTGAAGTGACAAAAGGGAGTGGATACTTTTATTTGGAAATACTCTTCCCCTACTGATCACACTTAAGGGGCGTGATGGTAGTGTGTGTGTGTGATTATGAGCCAGGTCCTGTTGCTGTTTCTATTTCTCTGTTGTCTTATTTTTGAAACTTGCATTTGGTTACCAATGACACGTCACTTAGATGCAGAAGGTCCACAAATTCCCCACTGAGTTTATTCCCTCAAACTTGGACAGCTGGTGCAGAACTTCCCAAGTGGTATCTGTGTCATTATCATCTTGACAAAGAATCTGATTCCTCTTCAAACCAGACCAGGTTGCTGTCTAAGGATGGAGCAAATACCATCCATCCATTCAAGGCAGCTAAACAGATGAGCCAGGCACAGACACATCTGAACCTTATTTTTCCAATTTTATTAGGATGTTAGCCTTGGGCACATGCTCAGTCTCTTATTAGCCACCAAGTGCTAGTCTTGGGTGAGGGCAAAGGAGTCTGCCCGCTCTGGGACTCCCAGCTTGTCAGTCAGGGTCTAGGCCTGGGTTTTTCTGGGGCTTGTCAGTCTCTCCCTGTTGAAGGCATTCACCTGCCCAGTCATCTTGTATCTACCCCATTGTGTGGCTATATGGATGGGCATTTTATACAGAAACACACAGCACAGTCCCTGCTGTTGGAGAGTTAGAGAGTGTGGGCTTTGGAATTATCTAGACTTTGACCCAAAAGTCTAACTTTGCCACATAGTAGCTTTGTCACTCAGGTCAAGTCATTTCTCTCTCCAGAAGCGTAACTGGCTAAAGGTCCTGGCTGGTGATGCAATGTGGTGTCACCAGTGGAAACGCCCTTCTGCACATCAAATGGAGCAGTCCTTATGCTGGGACTAGGTATGCAAAAACTACGTTCCTGGGGAGGGAGATGGAGCATGGAAGGGGGTCCACAATGGAGAGGGAGGGGCCTATTAGGTGTGAGGGGGTGGTACAGGTGAGAGCAGGGGAGAATCGCTCCTTCACTCTATGAGGCCAGGGTCAGGCCTGGCTAGATCCTGGAACACTAAGTGTTACTCACCAGACTGTAGACGCCCCCCTTGGCTCAGCGCACAAGCAGGGAGCGCAAGCAGCAGCAGGTGGAATGAAGACCTGGAAGAGTCCACCTATGGAAACACTGGAGGGTCAGGGAACTTTATTGATAAGGGGATCCTGAAACCAGTGATGACCCCAAGATGATCCTCCAGGTGAGGGGTGGAAAATAGTATTTCTATCGGTAGTGTGTCTAGAAACAAGAAAGTGCTTATTAATGTTTAAGCGCAGAGCCACTGTTAATCCCTAGTCCATCCCTCAGACATCATGTCAGGCCAGATGTGTAGAGGACATGTCTGCAGCAGGGGGGCGCTCTCATCCCTTCCCAGGGCCTTGTGATGTGTTATAGTACATGTGTATCTGTCACTAGTAATTTACAAAGTATATTGTTAAGGTCTAATGCCTACTCACAAAGCAAACAGGCAGCCTAAAATGTTTCCTGCAAAAGGCTGCGCTTTAAAAGTAATATTAAGAACATAACATTTTATAACAGTGTATTGTTTTGTAAGCAAAATCAATCAAGGACAACCTCCGGGCTGACACTTTTCTTCTGTCTCTAAGGAGTGCTCCTTTTCAGTCCCGAGATCAGGTAAAAACCATGATCTCACAAGACATCAGTGAGAAAAAGCCAATGGATTTGTCTTAACATCTACTTGGAATATAGAGCAGCTATCATTAATGAAGAATGTAAGTAAATATTGTGCCTTGAAATATTTGAGTGATAAATGGAAGCTGTCATAGTCAGTAAAATACAAAAATATCATTATTTCCTTTTCCTGAATGCTTTACATTTTTCTCTATGTTGCAGACCTATCTGTGGTTCCAAATAGTATTTGATAATCACTTAAGACACAGAGTGGGGATGAATGTGCAAATCAGGGTAACTAACCGAGTCATATAATAAGATAAGCTGGGCCCTACCCATCCAGACTGCCCCTCTGATTGCAGAGCTGGAGTAATTGAGGGCAGAGGAATCTGGCTATGTTCAAGGGTATCATCCTGAGCTCCTGCCCTGGGGCACCACACAGTCCCCCTGGGGCACCATGCAGTCCCCCTGGGGTACCATGCAGTCCCCTGGACTCAGGTGACAGCCCATCCCACAGGATTTTACTGTATGGTTGAGGATATAGCACCGGCCAGCCCAGTGACTATGCATCATGAAACAGCTTAGTTTAGTTATATCTGTAAGAAAAAAAATGGGGTGGCGTTGGGCCTCCCCGGTGGCGCAGCGGTTGAGCGCTGGGTTGCGAAGCTGCCCGCGTCCTCTGCGGCGCCGGTTTGATCCCCGGCTGCTCCCCGGCCACCGGAGGAGGGTCCCACATGGCACGCAGACCTCTCCTGCCGCCCGCTGCTCCCCTCAGCAGTGTACTTCGGTCCTTCTGCCTGCTCTGCTCCCCGCTCTGGCTCTGGTGAATTCTCTCACCCTCCCGCGCTTCTGACTGTACCCAGTGCATGTATAAACAAAACAAACAAACAAATAAAATTAATAAATAAATAAATAAACATGCCTCTATAAAAAAAAAAATTATAAAAAAAAAAAAAAAAAAATGGGGTGGCGTTGCCATTGTCCTGATTGTTTCTGGGAATGACACCTCAAGAATGAGGGACTTCAAGGGTAGCTCTTGCACACAAATAACCAACATACTAATTATATTTGATTCATATTTATTAAAACCTTTCAGTGCTGTTATTCTGTAACTCTTAGTAGGTAGGATATAGGCTAGAACCCAATAAAATTAAATTCTGCTAGAAATATTATTTCATTTACCAGTATTTAGAAATATTTCCTTCATCAAGGCTTAAGGAATCAATTCTTTCCTCAGTTGGGGAAGAAATTTTACTGGCTCAACAAGTCCTGGGCCAGGGAGAGGAAGAGGCTGTGGGGAGTGAGCTGAAAGGCAGGCCAGACAGAGAGTTCTGGATGGAAGATCATGGGGAGAGAGAAGGGAGAGGCCGTGAAACAGCAAGTCTAGGAAGGGAGAGCTCAGCCTGGAAAAGGGGCGAGGAGGAGGCTGCTGGAAGCAGAGGAGGGGCCCTGGGAGGAAGGCCGTGGGCTCACTACACTCCTTGCTTCTATTAATCCAATTAAAGTGTTGAAAATCAGATCACATGTGAAGCTTTAACATGAATTTTTCATTACAGCATCGGGGTGGGGGTGGAGAGGTGGGGTGAGGGAGGAAGGGAGGGGAGGGGGAAGCACCAAGAGTCATGATGTGGGGATGGAAAGGCCTCCTGGTGCTCTCAGGAATATGCGTCTGCCAGACACTGCACCCAGGCCTGCTTCTGCTCTGGCCTCCATCCTCCAGCACCTCCACCCTGCTCTTATTTCCTTTAACCCCTGGCAACCCCATTCTTTTGGCAGGTAGGGTCAGAAAGAGGGGTTCTTTGCAGTGCTGTTGTCTCCCCCTCTCCCCGTCAGATAGGATACGGGCCTGCCCTATCCCCAATGAACCCTCCCCTGCATTCCCTTCGCCCCCCACCCCAGCCCTGCTCCCACCTTGACTGATGAGGGCATTTGGTTGCAAAGGCAATGGTGAAAGGACTAAGATACTAAGGCAGTACCAGACAGCAGCAAACGGCACCCCCCTCACACCGCTTCAGAACCCGTGTGAGAAAAACAGGTCAGGGACCTGCAGCCCTCAAAGTGTGCCCTGACACTATGGAGAAAACAGCCTGGGGAAGAGAGAAGGTTTGGCAAGGTGGGAAGAGCAGCTCAGCTCTCCAGAGCTCCTTCTCTGCGCACCTTCTGTCCTTGATTCTTCCACCAGAGACTCTTCCCGGAGCGCCAGCTGGATGCCTGCAGCTCCCTGGTCTCCAGCACTGGGCTTCTGTCGTGCTGTTGGGTGACGCAGACAAGAAACGTGTGATCAGACACATTCCTCCAGACTCCTGAGTGGGATGGAGGCAATAACCCAATCCCACGTCTTACCTGGCCTTCTGTCTGGGCTCTAACCTCCCTGGTTGGAAATCGAGGCAGATGGCCAAGCTGAGGCAAGTGATTTCCGGGTTAGCAGTCGGAACTGGGACAGAAACCAAACTGTGTCTCCTTACTGTTTCTCTTCTGCCCCCGGGCATCCCCCCACATTTAGCTTGTTGGGTGGCAAATAAATTTCTCAAGAGGAAGCCCATCTGGCCACATTCAGTACAGTGTGGGCTCTTTTCCCTGGACTTGCCTTTGACTGCCCCCTGGTCTGCTGGTGGGGGAGTCCAGAGACTGGGCTGGGGAAATGCGGGTTTGGGTCAGCAAGGAGGGTTCTCTCTTCCTCCACTCTCAGCTCCCCTTCTGCGTGGGGCCCTCCTGAGCCTGCCTGGGGTTTAATCTCCGCCAGGCCTCTGCACCGCTGGGCCTGCTGGTGTGTGGTCTTTCACACTGATGTGCCTCAGCAGCTGGAAATAGTGAGGGGGGAAGGGGAACCCCAGCATAAAACCCTGGCACTTCTCAAAACAAAACGAACTCCAGCTTTTAATCAGTTTAAGGCTGAGGCGGGAGAATTGTGTTTGGTTTTACATAGACAAAGCTCTTTTTAGGTCTCTGCTTTCAGAGGAATCTTCCAGCCCATTATGCAAATGACCACAGTCTGGGCAGGAGGTGCTGGGGCAATTCTGCTCCTGTTGCAGATGGGGCCTGGAACAGGGAGGAGACCAGGTCTGGGGTGCAAGGTGGCTATTTGGCCTTTATCAACTGGAGCCCTCAGTTTGCCAGGGACCTTGGATGGTTACCCCTTCTCCTTGCCAGATTAGGAGAACTAGGGCTCTCGGGACTGTGGCTGAGGAGGCCTGTGCTTTGACAGTTGGGCTACAGTTTTATTTTTTTAAAGAAAGATTATTTATGCATACAAAAACTGGGGTACAGGCCAGAGATGCAGGAGGGCGAGAGGATTCACCAGAGACAGAGCGGGGAACAGAACAGGCAGACTGACCGAAATACACTGCTGAGGGAAGTAGCGGGCAAGACAGGAGAGGTCTGCTGCGCCATGTGGGTTGCTCCCTGGCCGGCTGGGGATCGAACTCGTGCTGTGGAAGCTGCGGATTGCTTCATAGTGCGGTGCTTAACCCCATGCGCCACCAGGGAGCCCGGGGTACAATTTTAAATTTTAAAAATTAATTTCTATGTTAATTAAATTAACAGTTAAGAAAGCTTGCTATTTATATTTATAATACCTCAGTGATGAAAGGATAAACTTGCAAAGCGAAGAATCCCATCCCATTCTCTCCTCCCCAACTACTGCCTGTCCATCCAGCTGCAGTTTTATTTATTTATTTTAAAGATTTATTTACTTATGCATACAAGAACTGGGGTTGTAAGCCAGAGGTGCCAGGGTGGGGATGGGGTGAGAAGATTCACCAGAGAGAGTGGGTAACAGAACAGAAGGATCCACTGAAATACACTGCTGAGGGGAGCAGCAGGTGAGACAGGAGAGGTCTGCTGCGCCATGTGGGTCACCTTCTTGGCCAGCCAGGGATCGAACTCATGCTGCAGTGGCTGGCAATACTTGACAGTGTGGTGTTTTTAACCCCTGTGCCACCAGGGAGGACCCCCATCTGCAGTTTTAGATCCAGGGACATTCTAGAATCTATCTGATTCTACAGTGACTTAGGGACTTAGTACTGAAGAATAAGCCCTACCTCTGGCCTAAGGTGGTTAGATGTAGGAAAAAAAAAAAAAAAAAACAAAAAAAACCAACAAGTTGTCCAGTTGAATTTGAATGTCAGAAACATTTTTACTGCAAGTGTGTCCCATGCAATAAAGCAGGGTTTTGTAACTGCAAAGCCACAATCACTTGTCAATGTGAACTTCATGTTTATCAGGGCCTCCTGTTTGTTTCTGGCACTCCTGCTCTGCTCTTCTTTCACAGGAGTGCCTGCAGGTCTTTTTCTCTCTTGATTTCTAGGCCTTCCTCTTTCCTTCCTGGGCTGCTTTTGGGAGTTTTGTCTCTTTGGGTCCTGTTGTCCACACGACCTTTCTGTTTACCTGTAACCCCCTCCCGTCTCTTCTGCGGTTTCTCTGTGAGTCTTCTCTCCCTTGCTCAGTTCTGCTTCTAGGCTCTGGGATGATCAAGATTCAGCCTTCAGTTCGGATTTGACAATGCTAGGTCCCACCTGCAAGTGAAATCAAACAATATCTGTCTCTTAGTGTCTGGCTTATTTCATTTAGCATAAAGTCTTCAAGGTTTATCCTTGTGGTAGCACGTGTTAGAGTTAGGTGGAAAAGATGTCCTGCGCAAACTCCATACAGGCTTTGTGGATGCTGCCCCCACTCCATCAAGACACTGGGAACTACAAATCCCATGATCCCCAAAGAGGTTGCAAGGGCCTAAGGGCGGAGTTAAGCAGCCATTTTTGGGCATTTGTGACTATAGCCAGTCATGTTAGTGGGGTCTCACTCACTTGGCTCGTGCTCTTGGCCAGGAGGAGTTACGTCTTTGAGGGTCATTTGGGATTCCAGGTCAGCGGAATGGGTAGGACAGGTAGGACACATTTAAGAATTTATCTCCCTCTTTTCTCCAGAGTTGTACATTTCCTCATTCCCCTTCTCTTGTAAATAAGCCTTTTGTTAACCTTTTGTGTGTTCCTGCAGTTTAAGTCCCCTTTAAGTGTACAGGTGAGGACCCACAGTCAGGCAACCAGTTTTAGCGTGGGGTTGCCCTGTAACATTAGGGTCTCTGTAGTGGCAGGAAGGCACTGAG